AACTTATCACTGTGTGTAAACTATTGAAATATAATTTCATTATATTTACTTCATCTATTCCACAATGCTCAAACTTTTTACTGACACGAATTAAGTTCCCTTTACTCGAGATAGACACCCAACTATAAAAATTAGTTAGCTGTCAATTCCATGTATGTTCCCGGTGGATGAACCTTTTGAGATGTCCATCACTGCATCTACTGAGGCAAACATCAAGCAAGGGAATGCTCAGTTCAGATACGTTTTCTATGGTGAATTGCAAAACAGATAGCAGTTGTTAAATGCAAACAAGATATCGCCAAGAAATACGTTCTCATCGCAGAAAAGCTATGCACCTCAATGTAATCATATAAATATATGGGATACTAACATAATTTGGAAAGCGGAATGAGACATACGTAGAAACACTGAAAATCAACAATCCTCTTACTCATGACAGTCGTAATTGTGAAAGTCAGAGTTATTCTGAATCTTTTGAAAGCTTATTATTATGATTATTGCTCCCTTGAGTTCCCAGTGGGACATAGGGCTTCAACTGCACGTCTCCATTTGCTTCTGTCTTCTGTATTTTTCACCTGCATCCATGTTAGTCCATGCTCTTTCAACTCCTCTTCACACGATATCCTCCATGTCACCCTTGCACCGACGTCCCACACGCCGCTTCCCTTTCGGATTCCATTCGAGGGCTTGACGCGCGATGTCACCCAGCGGTCTCCTCAGCGGGTGTCCGATCCATCTCCACTTTCTCCTGCATATTTCTTGGGCGATTGGTTCTTGCTTTGTTTGTTCACAGCCATAGTTTCTTGTTGGTGATTGTTTCCGCCCCGGCCATCTGATCTTCAGTATAGAGCCAGCGAAGATAGTTGTTGATAAATGTCTGGTCTGCAACAGGCTGTTGGAAATATTCTTTGTGACTCACCCGCCAAGTTCCTGATCCGTATAGAAGAACTGACTGACTTTACGTTTGTATTGAAAATCCGACCGAATTTTGTAGTTGATGCTGAGTGACGAAGATTTCCAGATTGGTTTCAGGTTGACGAATGTGTTTCTCGCCTTCCCAGTTCTCGCTCGATTTGACATCCTCGTCCGTTCCGACTGCCTGTAGTTGAGACAATGCTCCCTAGATAAGTGAATGAATGAAGTAACCTCTTTCAAATCCCCCCGTTGATGGTGATTGGCCCTGGATGTTGTTGTTGTTGGTTGATTATTTTCATCACCTCCATCTTGTCTACGTTCACTTGGAGTCCTGTCTTCGCCGGCTGCTTCTTCGACCAGTTTGTCGGTTTTTGCTTGCCTCTAAGTCTTCGATTTTGTGTGACATCAAACATAAATCAACCACGCGCGAAATCCAGGTCTTCTAGGTTCTTCATGTCGGTCCAGGATATCCCTGTCTTCTCGTTTCCCACTGTCTGACGCATAATCCAGCCAGTCCACCAGAATTATGAATGTCATTGGTGAGACACAATAAGCACCCTTGTCTGACTCCTGTGTTTACTCCAAACGCCTCGCTGAGTTTTCCGTTGTGGATGACTTGACATGTGCCGTTGTCGTACAGCTGTTGAATAAGGTTGATGAATATTTGGGGTACGCCGTAGTGCTCGAGTAGTTTCCAAATTACTTCACGATCAACGCTGTCGAAGGCCTTCTCAAAGTCTATAAAGTTGAGGTAGGGGTTTGATTGCCATTCCATGCTTTGTTCTGTGATGATGATGCGTAGAGTTGCAATTTGGTCAGAACATGACTTGCCTTCTCTAAATCCAGCTTGTTCTGGTCGGAGTTGTGCATCCAGTGCGTCGTTTATTCTCTCCAGGATGATGCGAATCAGGATTTCACTTGGCGTCGACAGGAGCATGATTCCTCGCCAGTTCTTGCAGAGTGAGGCAGAAGTCTTCCTTCTTTGGTAGTTTCACGAGGTAACCTTTCCTCCAGTCAGTAGGCACCTTTCCTTCCTTCCAGACCTTTTGTAATAGTGGAGTCAGCATGTCTGCTTTAGTCTCTGGGTTCTATGAAGACGACGTCAACGGGTCTTCTGTTGTCCTTTGATTTGACCCAGCTTTCTCTTGCAGTCAGGAGATTTGATAGGTATGAGAGGTTCCTCCGGAAGCCATGCTGTGCTCCAGATAACAAGCTGCTATTTTCCAGATAAGCCATGATGCTTTTCTTGATAATTCTTTCCAGTGTCTTGATTAAAGTGCTGGTGAGACTGATAGGCCTGTAATTTGAAGGGCTTTGTCTTGATCCTCCTTTGTGTATGGGGGTTACTATGGCGTCTTTCCAATCACGTGGCAACACTCCATTTAGGAGAGATAGCTTGAAGATCGTGGTCAAGGGGCCGGCTATGTGGGCTGATAGCTCCTTGAGAAGCCTTGGATGAAGATTGTCAGGACCCATTGATTTCCCTGCATCTAGTTTCATTAAGCAGTTGAGCACGATGCCTTGGTCGATGTCAACGGAATCTATCCCATGTTCTTCTGATGCAGCCAGAGCTGATCCTATAGGCACTGATGAATCCTGAGTGAAGACTTGGGAGAAGTAGTTTGCCATTGCTTCCGCTTTTTCTTGATTTTCTTCGATTGTATCTTTGTCAATAATCAGGTTTAGGACACCATTGGATGTTTCATTCCTGAAATTCAAGTACGAGAAAATTTTCTTAGGTTGAGCCTTTGCATTTTGAGCCAGGTGTGTCTCGAACTTCATCCTTGATTGGCGGATTTCTGCAATAGCTTTATTTCTAGCAGTGTTATATAATTCCTTGGTCTCAGAAGTCTCAAGTGTTGCAAACAGGTTCCAACATTCGCGTTTACGTCTGTGTAACTTACGAATCTCCCGGTTTATCCAAGGGGGTGGTAATGTTTCAGACCCTTTGGAACAGACCAAGGGATGAAAGGTACAGTTACTTGGGCGTAAAGTTGTTTAAATTGGTTTCATGCGGCTTCTACTTAGGACTCTGCGTTGATGTACCAGTTTACTGAGTTGGCTGCTGAGACGATCGCATTTATATCAGCTTTCCAAACGTTTGATCGAGCTGGGGTTTTGGCCCTTGCTGTGAACTTGAAAGTGAGCACAGCATGGTCACTTCTTCCTAACGGAGGAAGATGTTGTATGAGATCCACATCGCCACCGTGGGAGAACACCAGGTCCAGAGTTGAGGAGGAGTGCTGTGAGTCATAGCGTGTGGGCTTAATGATATGTTGGACTAGGGCTAACGATATACGGCATTCTAGCAGTTTATGATCAAAGGAGTTGACTGAAGATGTTGTTAGGCTCGACCAGTCAGCCGTTGGGGCGTTGAAGTCGCCGACTACGAGACTTCGACATTTTGAAGTCCAGGAACCTAGCTTCTCTATTAGGAGGTCGTCTGCACTGCAGTCAGGACTGCGGTACACAGCAATGAGGTCAATGTCTTGGCCTATACATTTAAGTCTGCATCGCAGAAGTTCGCACGACTCACTTTCGTGGGCGAGTGCTTCGATACTACGCACGGTTAAGCCTTTCTTGAGGTAGATGACTACGCCACCTCCTTTGCGGTTTAGTCGGTCCACCCTGTGCACTTCGAAGTTTGGCAGGTTAACTTCGTTGTCAGTGACATCGGGTGTGAGCCATGTCTCTGTGATAATAATTACATCCGGGTTTCCGGATTCTATCATGTTAACCAGCTCAGTCTTTTTATTTAACAGGCTGCGGGCGTTTGTGTAGCAGACTGTTAATTCAGATTGGTGCTTCCCCGGCCCACCTACAGAGGTTTCGGGGTCATTAAACTGCGAACTCGGACAACCCGAAAACCCTTAATCATAAGGTTCTTCTCGCCGTTCCGGCGTCGCTCACTTAATTCTAGCTTAAGGAGACAAGTTAACGCATGTATAGATTCTACAGATGTGATATGCATGTGGACCCACTAAAAAAGAGAATATTATTGGGTAACTTAATCAAAGAAGTATAAAGTTTGAAGATTTAGTCTTTTTCAGTTGATTGTAACGGACAGAGAGGAGAGGCATTTGTGTAACATTTGCATTTTGCAGAAGACAAAGTGTGAAAGATAAATCGGAAGTTTTAGGATTCTTCATGCTTGTTATGGGATATATGAACTGTTCATACCGATTCTACTATTGTTCCCTCCCTTGTTCACATATTCATTGTTGCTAAGATTAGGGATTGTTCACCTGAGGTAAGATTAATTCACCTGATATGTATAAATCCTTAGATATTTCTCAGTGTGGTCAAAGGAATACAATCTCAATCTTTGCATGGACAGGTCGTAATCAGTTTCTTCTGAAGGATCAGGTGGTGCTGAAAGCTGTAAAAACGGGTCCAGTGTCACAATCATCTAGGGGAAACTGATCCACATATTGTGGATAAAACGATTAGTGGACTTTAATTTGACTATGATGTACCCATAAAAAATCTACAACTGTGATTTTTTTCCACCCTTTTTAATGTGAATATGTACTGTTTAACTGTTGTTATTTTGTAAATATATGCATTTATGTTGACTACACGTATCTCTCTTAATTATCATTTCGAGGACATTGCATAGTTAACGAAGTTGATAGGCAACGTAGTAATAGTTGTGTGATATGCTTGATAATCGTAAACCGCTATTATTTCCTCAGTGCGTCATCAAGCCTCCGATGAAATGTTTCAGTTACACTCAATACGGCTGCGTAAAAGATTATCTTTCATCAGGGCTTGCGAAAAAATGTACGCTGAGCTTAGGTTTGTTCTGCGATTACTACATATACATAGTAACAAATGTAGGGCGGATACGTACATCGAAAATAACGCGTAATTACCATCAACAATGGATGTTTTAGTGGTCATCATAAGCTTTAAGGCAGTCTTCCTAAGCTCTGCCTTTGAATTGCGTTCTTTCGCCTTATCGGAACGTATCTCATGGGACAAAAGAGCGCCCGCAGCATTACCTCATAAAATAGTCATCACACGAAATACTATGAAACCAACTTGGTAAAGTGGTTTGCATGTCATTTTGCACGTTAACGACGCTACAAGAAGTTTCATCTACTAGACATTCACCAGCCTCGACTCTGAAACCGGGAAGTATCATCTTGGCTACGTCACCGAGCAACTCCGATTTCAATCTCTTAGTTCTTCTATACAATGTGGATCGGTGGCCTGTCTCTTTTCCAAACAAACCTAAAGCACAAGGCTATATTAAAGAGAATAAAGTACTTCTAAGACGTCTAGGGGTATTCACATTACTACCACTTGGTACTATTTCACTTTCAGTATCCATTTTATTACCTTAAAAAAGACATTACTGCACATACTTAACTCACCTAGTGAGGGGAGCACGACGAAGAATTTGAAATCGCGGCTTCGGAAGTCAAACTTCAGTTTGAATTCACATAAACAAACGTGTCAAAATAATGGAAATGAAATCGTCACCATTTGTCTTCATGCCAATTCACAGTGATTACAGACGCATTGTATAATATTCAAGCTGAAATTTTCCTCACCTCATGCATTCCCCATCTTAGTATGACTGCGCTACGAAAACAAATTCACTCCATTCTTCCCATGTTTCCCATATTTTCCCACATTTCCCACGCCTCCAGAAAATAGTTGCCCACGTTTGCCCACTTTTCCCATGTCACTTGACCAACTAGCCCACTTCTTCCCACTTTACCCATGTTACAAACGAAAACAGCCCAATTTATCCCACTTTGCCCACATTTGAACGGAAGACTGCCCACGGTTTTACACACATATCCCAGGTTCAAAAAAAGTAACCGACTGGGAATAAGTATAGCCTATTGAAGAAAATCCTAGTATTATTATGCTGCGTAAATTATCACTTTCAGATCAAATCATTACGCATTCCAAAACCGGCTACATCACTATTCCTTCGACAAGCAAAGGGAAGTAGTAGTGAATTCTTTAAAGAACACCGTTAAAACATTAAAGGGATATTTATTTTGATAAATAATTTTATAATATCACAAAGATTCCAACGATAACGCGCAAATTCTTCAATCGCACTTCATTAAAGCCTCCAAATAAAGTGAACCACTCCGTAAATTACAATCGCAGCCTGCAAATCAACAATAGTATGACATTTGTTAACAAATAATTAGCAACACGAAAATACTCCAAACCAAAGTAACTATTAAAAACAATTTGTTTATTAACTGTTATCTTGCGAATAAATCAACTAACACTCCTTTATAGCTGTAGACTCTTCTGAATGTTACCAAGTTTTCATATCTCAGCGATTCAAAAACCCCTTCAGAATTTCGCAAAATATGCATCGATTGTCTAACTTATTTCGTTTTTTAAACGTAATCAATAATTTACACAGACTTTTAACATTCCACATGCAAAGAAATAACGAAATTCGATGACAGGTACGTGTTCACTCAAACTGCTGAAAGCGTCTGCTTTCCACCATTTTTCTAAGTTTTTTCGTTAAAATATGGTATTTATAATGTATTTCAGTTGAAAAAGACCTGAAAACAACGTAGAACAACCCAAACACAACATCGCGATAACACATAACGACACCCCGTGTGTGCCTTTATCCATTGCCATTCCCAACAGTAAATTGTATTTCTAACTGTACTCTGAAATTATATGTATTTTAACAAGAATCGTTTTAAACAAAAATCATGTACAATATTTCTAATTTCTACAACTAACAAAAAGTGTACAATCATATTGTTACGCACTCTACAATCACAGCGTGCTTTGCACAGAACAATACTGGCTCAGATGAAATATTCATTTTACTTAGTTACAGATTCAACCTTGTAAAAATAACACATGCTTACGTGATAATTTTCCACTCCCAATGTGCTAATCATAATTCATTCAATCAGAAATTATAGTCAAGTCCCCATGTGAAGGTCACATCGAGTCTACAATTTGTCTGTTTCAGTGAGAATTTGTAAGGACCGCTTTCGGTGGAAGGGAGAAACGACTAAGTTATAGTCTATAATTCTACTCGAAAAATAGTCATTTGTGTAAAATTATTATCACTATACCCTAGTTACTGCTAGATTTAATCGGTGCCTATTACTCTGCATCTATCACCATACATTTGTCTGAAATTCCCTTGCTTTCATTTGAATTTGTGTGATGACTAATGCATCATAGGTGGTCACTGAATTACGTGAATACTGACTGCATTAAGAAAACGGAAAACATCTCAGCGAACACTTACAACACTTATATGAATAAAATAAAAATAAAATACAGACAAATACAAAAAATACAAAAAACAACGACTGAAAACCTCTTCCCCTATGTGTTCATCAATGGTGGAATATTCAAATTCTGTGAAGTGTATTCGGTTGCATGCTGTGAATGCCAACAACAAACACGATAACTAGGTCGACCACAATTATTCACAGCCTGTCCCGTCTATAAAACCCAACGTAGCACATTACTACTTTGAAAACAGGCCAATCTACGCATATCCCGGCTTATATCACTATTTCAAGATAAATAAACTCGAATTGTGCCACTACGACTAGCACCACTACTACTACTACTACTACCAGTACTGCTAGCAAAATAGTGTAAAAAGTATCCAATCAAATTATTGGCATTTCATTTGAAAACTTAACATTTGTAAGATAGTTGGGTAACATACTTCTTCACTCCTCCTCCTCCTTCTCCACACCTGTCTCCTGCTGCTGTGCTGTTGAACAATTTCTTCAATCACACAAGACTGAGTTACACAATTCTTGTGGGAATAATCGCACGATAATCCACAGTCAGTCATATACCTCTTCTGCAACAGTCGAATCGGACTCATCTCATGTTATATGTAGCAGCGCATTCATTCATCAATCTACTACCATGAAACACAAGCATTGCATTCACTTCCACTTGTTCACTCTTACTGAATTTCGTCACCAAAAGAGTACAAGTCCCTCATAACATACCATGTAATGTCGGAATCGATTCTGAAGAGTGAGTGAGTGCTTGGTCAAACCTTCTGTTGTCGACTGTCTTTCTCCAAACAGCTTCACTTCCTACTTGTCTGCATGAGAAGAAAAAAGATGATTTATATTCGTTATTCAAACAGCAGGCTGTGTTCTACTACATGAAACACTACACAGTAAAAAGGAATTGGTTGCAACAACATCCTATGCAACATTCAGTGCAGGCAAGTTCATCTTCGGCATCCAATTTATCAATTCTGCATTTTGCATTAAAATCTTCAATATGCATATCGCCAGAATACGTATTTCGAGAAATTACGGATTGACGAGTATTGCAAGTTAGACGTTGACAATCTCCGTCTTAGGAATAACCCACTATACATCTATATCTATATCTACATATATATATATATATATATATATATATATATATATATAAAGTGACACAAGATAAGCTTCAGTGGAAAGTTATTGTCCATTAAAGTAGTACTACAAATAGAGAAAGTGTAGCACCTCATCCCCATGAAGTGCGCCTTCATCACATTGGCTGTTCACCCAGGTGAACTACATCCCTGTATATCATACGAGGCTTCTGGAGCACATATCTGAACTCCGATCATGCTTTAGTGGATGTCACGATCATTTCACGATTTGGTGGTGCTCATATACGTCGTCTTCTACAGTTCAATGTAAGTGAACTGGTAGCACCTACTACTCTGAGAACCACCAGATTGAGCGAATGTCAAGGCTAGATAGCAACTCTTCGAACTGCATAGATGAATGATGGTAACGCCTGCAGAACCTTATGAGAATAGCTAGTAAAGCCACTCATAGCTTAAAATAGTACACCACTTAATACCACTGGGCTTCTGACAGTTTCTAGCAACGTTCGCATGTGTGCTGGTTCATTCCGTCGGGTGGCAAGTACAATATCATGCATAAGATTCAACAGTGTTTACCACCTAAGGACCGCGTATTCTGGTGGTCAGAACATGCCTGTGACATCCAACTAGCAGCTACGTTGGCGAATACCTGAAAGCTATCCCAGCTCATCCATGCCACCCACTAACAGCATCAAGCTAGGTGTCAGTCAGACATTCTGAGATGCACATAGTGACTCGCTTAACCCTCTCCCGATAGAGAAACTTCTTTCAACACGCGAGAAACTAAAGCTTAAACTTCCCAATATGTTACTGATTCAATTAGTACAGTGTAAGTTTTTTCTAAATACATGAAGAGGAAAATGAACCCGAAGAATGACAACGCATAGTGAATAGCCTGGGTGTATGTGTCATGGGTGTATGCAGTCCAAAGCTTGGCGGACAAAACTACTAATTCAACCACTGCTACTAGCGCGTTTTCAACGGTCCTCCAACCGATGTCAGTTTATCATCTAACCTGAGAGTCAGGAAGACTGGTGCAGCATGTCTTAATCGACAGGGGGATATTACACTCCAAACAAGTGAAATTACAATATGCAAGATGGTGTCAAAAATGACATCTTGATTAGAATGAGATTCATTCAAATTGATGACACATTCAACAACTGTGAAGCCTATTATTACAGTCACTTTCATCACTAATCGCCTTTTCTATAATCATTCCAGTTCCCAAGCAAAACAGACAGATGGTCACCGAAAGTTATAGCTTCATGCTACTACTACTACTACTGTCTGATTTGGAAAAGCGAGATTTCACCAACCGCCTCCTTTGCTATCACAGATAATCTAAGGCTCATAGGATTTTCGAAGAATTCCAACAATGCGATCGATGTATACAACGGATGAATCTCCTAGTCAGGTAAAGATGAATAGCTTTAGTGACTATTCGACTACCTTCGACTCGTAGTCAATTCCATTCGAGAAGGGAGAAGACGCTGACTAGAAAAAGTGGGAAAACATGAAAATCTCTTAAATCAATAATTAATAACTAGAGATAAGGGAGGAAGTAGAAAATTTCAACAAAGTCGTTTGAAACCTTACTTAGTTAGCATGTGTTGCATACCTGCGAGGATTTCTCTCCACTAACTAATTGCTTGTTGCTTCATCTTCCATTGCCAATTTGAAAACTCCATATCCCATGTCTGGTATTACTATTACTATTATTATTATTATTATTACTGTCGATCTCGTTTCCGCCTCCAAAATTTTCATGATTGTTATCAGAATTCAGAAAGTTATTGACTAAGGGATATAAAACTTGTCGAATGTGACCAAGCATGCATTCAGCGAAGTGACTTCTTATACTAGAAGCTCCGGAATGTGTGTAGGCTGGTTGTTTATTCAGTGACCTGGGAGAAGAACAAAGAATAATATCACGATGCAACATGCTATCAAAAAGGCTTAAGATTTAGAATCTGAAACCTTCAGACTTGAAAAATCAACTGACTTGGCCAGAAACGACAAACAGCAAGCCGGCTCTTCAAAATAATGTGAAAATTAATCCAGAAGACAGTTTGGTCAATAAAATCGTCATCACATGGACGACCTAGTATGACTGATGATGAGCAGATTTCGGTCTCTCCCTCAAAATCCTATCCCATATAGACTCGCATTTGCAGTCTCTGTCTCGAAGACTAGGATTAAGGAAGTGGCTCATTAAGACAACCAACTGCTTCCGTATGGACATCTGGACACTATCCAACTACTTGCACAAAATAACAGATATCACGGGGTGTATCACTACGCACATTCACTGTGCAGAGTCAAGGATACTTCAGACTGACCACAGACAGCTGTTTCGCTCAATGTATCATAACATTCTCAAGTTGCTATTGCACAGAATGTTATCCATGGTAAAGAAACATAACTGTAACCCAATTAGTGATGATAGCCATAGGATCATATGTGTTGATTTATTTATCCGTAAGGAAACAGTGAGAATACTCCCGCCTAAATATGAAGACATCATCAATAAGTAAATCTCACAACTACCGATGCCAACCACACACAAGTCATTAATCATACCATCTGGATTGTTGTAATCATATTGTGGTAGGTGATCACAGCAGGGAACATAGGACGTGGTTCTCGTGCTTGCTGGCGCTCGTCAGCGAGACCTATCTGTATTTTCAAAGGAGCACATAGCCTCTTTGAGACTAGAACCTAGGTCACTCAGTACTGCATGCAGAGACATTAGCACTGAGCTATAGAGGTTTGTGATTGACTCCCTTTAAGATTGTACTGAAAAGTTTGACTGGACATTACGTAGTGACTGAAACTCTGACAAGCTGCTGAGAGAATTTGTACAAGATTATTTCAATTCACCTAAGATTGCTCATCGAGGAAGACAGATGAACTATCAGGCTGCATCGATCGACACAGATTTGACGTGCGTTACGCATTCCAAACAATTGTCTTTCTCGTCGAACAATCTCACTCCACACAGGATAAAATCAGATAAGAATTAGCGGTCGTCAAATCAAGACTTCGAATCGATGCATCAAGTCTGTGATTGTTAAATTCAGCCTTGTAGGCGGCATGTTTAGCCCACCTTGCTGGTGTTCCCTAGACGCTAATTCAGAATTCAGCGTCTCATGCATATATATGTATATATGGACTATAAAAAGAGTAATAAAATAAAACCCTTGCTCTATAATTGAACACAAAAAGAACAACATTATGTATACTCACCGATTACGTGACTTCATAGAACGATATATGTCGAATTAAAAATCACTTTTAGATTGAAACAGATGGGAATCACCAATTAAATCAAAATAGAGGAGGCATAGGGACGTTTCTGTACAAAAGAAGCATGTACAATCCCTACTTCTGTCTTGGGCGTAGGGAGACAGACATTTATTTATTTTCTATATTTTATTTGTTTTGTGTATTCAGTTGTTCTATGTACCTTTCCCTCATTACTGCGATTATTGTTACTGTTATTACGATTCTCAGTTTCAATTGTCTCCACTTCTCCCACTCGTCATTCTAAATGCAAAAATATCGTATCTTGTCAAATTTGATACCATGTAATGTAACGTTTCATATTAGCCTACCAGCCCTAAAATGATACAGCCTTTTCGAACACCTATAAATCTTATGAATTACTGTGTATCTGGCATTAACTGTTTTGCCACCTGCCACTTGACACTTAACTATGATTATAATCACAAATATTTTAATTGCATTTCACACTACTATTGTTATTATTATTATTATTATTATAGTTTCATGTCTTCACGCATTTGATTGAATTCCCTCACGACATATGATTTGTTCTAAGAACCTTATGTATACGATTGTACAGCTTGATGGTAATCTCGTTGAATAGAATGACTTCGCTGAATATCGTGTTCTTAGTGTTACAGTGGTAATTATAAAATTAACGTATGATTGTTTGTGTGTTTGATTGTGGGGTGAGACTAGATTTCCAGCAGGCACACGCGAACCTACGACACACACACACACACACTGCTAATCGTCGCCTAGTTCGACTACTCGGCTGTAGGGAATCAGGATTTGAGGATCGGTTAGGTTAGGATAGGCGGAGAGAGTGGCGAGCAATCCCAATGTGTAGAAACGACATCATAACTGATAATAATTCACAAATCTTCAAGCCCGATCTTCTAATTGACGTGCAAAGGAAGCAGTATGTATATGAGGTCATCATATACGGACCGTCAGTTCGTTGTAGGGAAGAGATTCCATGTGAGAATAGTCTATCCAGGGTAGTGTTTTGTTTATTCTCACAGCTATAATGTGTTTATTTGTTTGTTTCAGTCTTTCAGAGCACAGTCTATACAGAATGAACTGTGAGTTGTCACAGTGAATCGAATGTTCATTGATATAAGTGGAAAACTTCGGCACTGTGGTAGAGTATAACTCCATTATGGATAAGATGTTATTTTGATAAATCACACAGTGTTGTACAGTAATATTAATTGATGACCACGTTTCGAGCACAAACTATTGCCACTCATAATCATGTCAAGTTACTCACTCACACACAACTTTTTTCTTTCACTTATATACATCTGTGGAGTCGATTAGATATTGGATTAAAACTCAATATGAGATAATGTACATTCAGAAATAATAATACGAGTGTTATTGATCAATTACAATTAGATGGGAAATAAGACGAGTGTTTTTTATAGTCATAATAAGTTACTTGTTAGAATGTTGTGATGTGTTTGAATTGAAATAGAATTTTAAGATTATTTATTATCCTCTTCTGATTTGACCGGCGGTAATAATATCTTCCATGCATATTTCTGGTATTTGCATTGAGTCATTTCTGTTGCATGTGTTGTGTTGGGTGTAGACTCGATGAACAAGGATTCCGTAATCAACCTCTCTCTTCACCTAGCTATATTACTTTTTAGAATTTTAACCCTATCCCACCCTATTGTGTGGTTGTTTGTTATTGCGTGAAGTGCAATAGCTGAGCATTTTTCTAAATTAATTATCATCTCGGGGTCGAAACGGATGAAACAATATACTCATCCACAATAGATTGAACACTGGGTGCAGGAGTGAGCAATGGGGGAGAAAGCTTATGATCACGTGAGTCAGCAGTATCTCTCTTCATTCAATAGAATTAGCATGTCCTTATAAAATGTGAACATACCCAACTAGACTCACCGCGCACACGGTCATCCCTGTTAACACTGGTCACCACCGGGTGAATAGAAGTAATTTCAGAAGACCTCGGATTCTCCTGACATGCTGTGTTCGGCCTGTCTGCCATGGTGAAATTCAGCTTTCTCAGTATTTCTTGTCCCTTACGACGGAGTTGAGCCCAAAGTCGTCTCGGATATCCCTTTGAGTGAAGACATTGTGAGATTTTCATCCACGTGTAATGCGGCAACTTACAATCTCATCGACGTTGCCGCAGCCTTTCCAGTTTCGTACATTGTACGAACATTCCAGGTACTCATCCTTACTTTTGATTTCATCGAAAGAAGGCACATCGGGTGGCTGGCTTCCCGAAGGCTTTTACCAGCCTGGGTCATTTCACTTCCCCGATTCCAGAGAAAAATAAGGCTATTTTTTATGTTTTTAGAATTTTTAATATATTTATTCGTGGAAGTTTCTGTAGCGATTTGGTTGTTTTACGCGGGTGGAGTTGCTAGCACCACGCCCCAACCCTCCCTCTTTATCCGGACTTGGGACCGGCTAGAAAACTAGGAAGCTAGTAGCCTTGCAAGCTAGTAATCATCATCACTTCTATCCAACTCAAGAAACAACCATTAAACGACACTTCATTACTTCTCAGTCTAGAGAGGCAACAAAAAGTAAAAAGCATCTGTAATCAAACAGAAATCACTGAGAATGAGCAGATATTGTTCACACTTTGTATGTTTCTTCATGTCACCTAGAATTTGTTATTGCTATTGCTGTTATTCCGCAAATCGTAGTATTACGAAATTCTTAGAAGACAATCCGACAACAATGTTGACGGTGTCGGTGGCGCCACGATTACTCATAAGCTTCCATCTCCTCCATGTCACGCAACTCATCGTTTCTTTCTATTCCATCACAACCCACTTGAGGGTTTGGCATAGGCAACACGCTAATTCACGGTCTCCGCAGCGCGTGTCCCATCATCCGTTCCCACTCTCTTCGGTATATTTATTGAACTGTGTGCTATTCGTTGGCTCGTTGCAAGGCAGACCTCCTCGTTGTTAATTCCTTCTAGCCAGATATCTATCTGATCTTCCGTATGGAGCACAGACACCTGTTGACAAATGAGAGTCTTCAGTCTGCGGTCAATTGGAAATACTTCTGAAGACCATGGTCGTCGAAGCTGGGAAGCACACCGACTTCATTGACATTAGTGTTGAAAATCTAAATCTTGTTGTTTATGCTTAGTGCAGTAGATTCCCAGACTGGTTTCACTCTGATTAATGTAGGCCAGTCAAGCCTTTCCGACCTGGCTGGCTGACTGGTTGACTTTGACATCCTCAAGTGTGACGTCTGTAGTTGAAGGGATCTTCTCAAGCTGGACAAGTTAAAGAGGTGACCTTATCCAAGTTTCTCCCGTTGACAGTTATTCATTCTTCTTCTTCTTGTTTAGGTATCTCTTCATCACCTTTGTCAAGTGAAGTCCTACCTTTGACCCGTAGATGCAATTTTCACACTACTCAGTCAAGCAGACAAACAATCAGACATTGATCAGTTGATACAGATCAAATCTTTCCAAAGCTACAACAACAACAACAAGCAAGACACTAGTCTCAGGGAGGAAACCTGACCCATCTACCAGAGTGAACGTCTTCAATTAGTCTCAACAACGCGTCGAAAATGACTTTGGTTCATGGTCCACGGTGCATAGTCCACTACAATAACTTCCCATGACACTTCATTTGCTCTCTCCATAATATGTTCCCCAATAGAAGAGATAGACTGTCTCTTTTCACCATGAGTGGATTCATGCAATCCAGTCTGCTTCTGAAGTGTCATTTTCCACTCCCAATGTGCTAATCATAATTCATTCAATCAGAAATTATAGTCAAGTCTCCATGTGAAGGTCACATCGAGTCTACAATTTGTCTGTTTCAGTGAGAATTTGTAAGGACCGCTTTCGGTGGAAGGGAGAAACGACTAAGTTATAGTCTATAATTCTACTCGAAAAATAGTCATTTGTGTAAAATTATTATCACTATACCCTAGTTACTGCTAGATTTAATCGGTGCCTATTACTCTGCATCTATCACCATACATTTGTCTGAAATTCCCTTGCTTTCATTTGAATTTGTGTGATGACTAATGCATCATAGGTGGTCACTGAATTACGTGAATACTGACTGCATTAAGAAAACGGAAAACATCTCAGCGAACACTTACAACACTTATATGAATAAAATAAAAATAAAATACAGATAAATACAAAAAATACAAAAAACAACGACTGAAAACCTCTTCCCCTATGTGTTCATCAGTTGGTGGAATATTCAAATTCTGTGAAGTGTATTCGGTTGCATGCTGTGAATGCCAACAACAAACACGATAACTAGGTCGACCACAATTATTCACAGCCTGTCCCGTCTATAAAACCCAACGTAGCACATTACTACTTTGAAAACAGGCCAATCCACGCATATCCCGGCTTATATCACTATTTCAAGATAAATAAACTCGAATTGTGCCACTACGACTAGCACCACTACTACTACTACTACTACCAGTACTGCTAGCAAAATAGTGTAAAAAGTATCCAATCAAATTATTGGCATTTCATTTGAAAACTTAACATTTGTAAGATAGTTGGGTAACATACTTCTTCACTCCTCCTCCTCCTCCTTCTCCACACCTGTCTCCTGCTGCTGTGCTGTTGAACAATTTCTTCAATCACACAAGACTGAGTTACACAATTCTTGTGGGAATAATCGCACGATAATCCACAGTCAGTCATATACCTCTTCTGCAACAGTCGAATCGGACTCATCTCATGTTATATATGCCTAGCCATCTCCTTCAGCGACGAGCATTGTTAGCTGATATATGGTCAGGCCTGAAGAAAGTTAGCGGAGGTCAAACAAAACATGCCACTAGTCAATGAAATCCACAACATTTAGTTTAAGCCAGCCACGTCGTTAGGTGTAGACTTCCTGGTTGGGGTCCTCGGGACGGTAAATACCAATGGTTGGAAACAATTGGTGACATGGCTCAAATCGTTCTCAATGGCTGGCTGGCGCAGATGCATCCACTCCTTGTGACTTATGATTTCCAATGAAACTGTTTTGTTCTTCGTTACTACTATTCCTTTGTCTCACACCTCTGTTTACTGTCTCTAATATGTATTTCTTCCACTTTCTTC